AATTTTTATTTAATTAAATAATGCACCAAAGAATATAGACTAATAACATGCTAAAAGTAGACAAATTTCCTTACCTCTCAAAATTTTTCTGGCTTTCTAACTATGCGACAAGAGTCATTACCAATTCATCCAAGTCAGTTGTTAACTTTCTCTCGGGAACAATGTTGGTACTCTGAGTGAAATTGACATTTAACCGTTCAGAACATAATGTTATACGTCATTTCACAGATGAAAATCTTGACTTTCTATTGGTTATAGGTAATGTATACTAAAACGTAAGAGTGAACTATTAATGAATTCTGAAAGAGAGGATCGGACAGGTAGGCATGGCAGGAGATGTCTGATTTTCTAATTGATAGCTCTGTAACCGAAAAAAGTTGACGACTATAAAAATTATGGTTTGTCTGAGTAATGACAATTTTATAGAGTAATTTAAGTTTAATTTCGTACTTTTTTACGAGGTGGTGAATAAAATAGGGATGATGATATGCTAAACGAAAATGTGGCACGCGAGTCACACAAGTGAAATTCAGGATTTTTTAAAATATTGCCTTGTAGAATTAAGAACTTAAAACTTGTATACTATTCTAATTGGTATAACAAACAAAAAGTAGTTTAATAAAATTTTGAATGCAAGACACTAAAATCTTGTGTTATGTGCAGTAAAGGATACCCGTGGCGATAGGGTTAATCATAAACTATATAAATGTGCAGGGATGGAAGCTAGACACATACATACAAACAAATACTACATTATTTAAAATAGTTTGTCTGTTAAAAAAATGAGATTAGTAGCATTAAAGCTAGATATTCTTCAAATACCTACACAAATGCAGATTCGTGGTGGTAAGTAAAGGCCAACTCAAATACCATTCACCTATAAAATTATTTTAAATGTATTTAAATGATGGTCAATGCTAAACACTATATAAATTACAGAAGTGATGATTTCCACAATATAGAAAACATTTTCAGACATATGAAATATTTTTCTAGTATTTTTGAATGATTAACTACTTTAGATGTATGTATATGTTTACAGAAACTCAAAAGGTTTCAATCACAGTTCTTAATTAGTATAATAAAAAGTTTATTTCACTCATTGTAACAAATTAAAGGGTGGAGGAGTAAACAATTTGTGTTATCATCATGATTGGTGTTTGAACTAGACACATTTATTTTTAAATTTATTTTAATAAATCAACTGAGAAACCAAGTAAATTCTAACATTTTAACAACTTAGCTGAATCTGGAGTTCATAAGTGAAAATTATAACTTATTTTATATGATTTTCAAGTATAAATGCAAGGAATCAAAGAATACATCTTTAAAAATTTTTTAAATAAAAATCTTCCTTGTCTAAATTCTTCATACTGTCATCCATCAATTTATGGCAAGTTGTTCAAATATAAGTGTCTATACTTACATTTTATCACCAGATTTGTCCATACCATATGCTAGAGCTGCTGCTGTTGGTTCATTAATTACTCTCAAGACATTCAGACCAGCAATCTGTCCTGCATCCTTTGTTGCCTGTAACATTTGGTTTAATAAGTTTGTCTCTCATAGTATTTAATATTCTGACATGAAAATCAAAACAAGCATCAACTCTTTACTAAACATAGCAACTTATAAAAAAATAAAACTTTCCTTAGTGAAGTGGTAAAGATGGTTAATTATTAAAGAACTGAAAATATTGAATCAAATGGTAAGCTCTCTCTCTCTCATCATTGTTTCTAAACTAACAGGTAAGTGAAAAAAACAAAAGGGGGGGGGGCATGGTAAATAAGCCTTTCTCTGACTTTCCCTGGACATTACAGGAGTTCGCTCCCATTCCAAAATTTCTGGATTTTGACATCTTGAAAACAGCTTTAAAAAAAACAAAGACATCTTTTAATTTAAAATATGCAAACATTAAAATCTCAATTTACATAAAAGTGGATCCCTACCTCAAACAAAACTTTGTATCTTTCTAAATGATTAGTTTATTTTCATGCACTTGCACAGAAAAATGTAAGAAATTTGTTTTGTTGCACCCAAAAGGATCATTAATTAACAGTAAAACTACAGTATATCAACCCAGTATCCAGTTAATAGACAAAATATCTTAACAAGCACACTAGCTCTTCAACAAATCTTTACACATTCCTCATTAAAAGACTTGCTGCTTTACTCCTATCAATCTCAATACCTATGTCAATCAACTAATCTAAATCTTATTTTATCATGGTAATCTAAAACTGTTTAGAAAATGTGAAAAATTTAGTACCCATAGACTTAGAAATTTTAGAGAAACATCTTTTTATAAAGCATTGTAAAGTTGGGTTAAAATGATTCAACTAGAACAAATAAAGTTAACTGTTACTTGCCTGTCTTTGAGAGTCATTAAAATAGGCTGGAACAGTAATTACAGCATTCTTTACAGGGTGTCCCATATATCCATCTGTAAGAAATGTTAAATTATTAAACTTTAGAATTATGGAAATGTTTAACCTGTTTAACTATAAACAATTATTTCACTAGTAAAAAAAGTCTAAATATGTACTCTTATGTCTGCTTTTAGCATTACATTTGAATACAATACAGTGCCTACTGATTAGTGTAAATACAACAAAAAACTATATTAATTGCAAAATAAACCTTTAGATACTTCAGTTGCAGCTAAACATATTGGCGAATTATTGAGCTTAAAGTTGCACAACATTCTCTGATATACTCATTGTTAAAAACACTGACAAAGACTTACTTTTGATAAATAAAAATGATTGCATTTCAAACTAGCATTTCCATACCAAACTCTTTAGTGAATTCAAGCAATAATTTTATTCATTTGATTAAAATTTAGTTTTTCTTTCAGACATATTGTGTACCACAACATTATTTAAGGTAAGAAATTAACAAATTAAAAGCAACCTTTTTTAACCTTTCACAACTTAATATTTTGTTGAATACATACTATAAAAATCCAAGTTTTGTGAAAACAATAAATTTACCAACAATATATTCTGATTGTGCAAACCAGGTCACAGGTTCATGATGCAATGAAATTCAGACACAATCTTAAAGTCAAATATATATATATATATATATATATATACACACACACACACACACTGATTATTGAAGTTATGTATTTTTTTAATCAAATAAATATTTTTTGTAGTTTAAACAAATATCAACCTGCTGTTTCCTTCATCTTCATCAGGACAAAAGCTCCTATCTGACTTGGGGAGTACATTTTGCCACGAGCTTCAACCCATGCATCTCCATTGGATGCTCGAACTATCTTAAAAGATACTGTTTTCCTGAAAAATAAACAGATAAGTTATACAACATTTACCATCAAGCTTAAAATCTTGGTTCTATTTTAACTGGCTGAAAAAACATTTCCAAAAACCTGCTTCTTCACTTAAAACTGTTAGTAGTTACTGAATGTCATTAATGTTACATGTTTGCAAACACTTAATTTTGGCTAGTCAATTTCTAAAAAAATAACCTAGAAAAGATACAACTAATATCAGCTAGACATTTATTAAAAGAAAAAAAAACAACAAAACAATTATAAATAAACTTGAGTTATTTTTATATCAAGCACATGGCTCACCAGCCTACAAAACTGAATTTAACTTGCATATAACCTGATACAGACTTACTTATGAATACATGCTTAAATTGAAACTTAGAGTTTACAGTCTAAAGGAAGTAATATACTTTAAAAACAACAGATCTTTATGTATTAATACTCAGGCTTTTGTTTCTTGGGGCTAAAGGAGAACACAAGTTAATGTACAAAGACTTTGCTAAGAACAATAATCATTGGGTATTGTCAACTAAAAAAACATCAAAAAGCAACTCAATCCTATCATCTTACTTACATATCTTTCTGTACTTCTGAGTCATCATACCGTCGGCCAATTAACCTTTTTGTTGCTGAGAATGTGTTGGCAGCATTAGTTACAGCCTGACGTTTAGCAGGCATTCCAACAATACGTTCCCCATCACTTGTAAAAGCCACCACTGAGGGGGTTGTTCGTGCACCTTCAGCATTTTCAATGACTCTGGCAGATTTTCCTTCCATAACTGCTACACATGAGTTTGTTGTCCCCAAATCAATACCAATAACAGCACCTTTTGGTCCATCAGATCTGCAAATTACAGAATTCAAAATATAACAAAAAATCTTAAGAAGAAAATTCTAAAAATGTATTAATCTTATTGCAATGGGCTCCTGTATTTTAAATGACCTTTTAACATTATGTAACCATGGTT